TGTGTGTGTGTGTGTGTGTGTGTGTGTGTGTGTGTGTGTGTGTGTGTGTATTTGTCTCTACTACTTAGTGAAGACCATTCGTACCATAGTTACTACCAAAGTGAGGTCTTTGGTGTAAAATGAGGACCTCTTCAATGTCCTCACTTTGTTTGCAGCTCTGCTGTGCTTTACTACAGTAGTTAGGTTTAGAGCAGAGGAGCCCAAAGTGGGGCCTGCTGGCCAAATTTGGCCCGCCAAGCCATTTGATTTGGCCCACCAGCAGTTGAGTAGTTACTAGGCTGTAACCTGTCGTTCTATGTAGAAACAGTATTTCCACTTAGTCATTCCATCCCTTGGCCCAGTGACTATGTAAGGGGCTGTAGTGCAGATGGTTTTCACTCATGGTGTTGACTTTATCTTTGATATATTAAGATTAAACATGAAGCATGAAATACAAGTAACAAGATTTATTTAGATTAGATTTAACCACACATGTAGATTTTCRCACTTTATAAGGCCACAAAAACTCATATTTGATCAATTTATTAAATGTCCCATGAGCTTTTGCTACTTGAGYGTATGTCAGACTTTCTCCAAGTTCACAAACTAAAACAAAAGTGGGCCACCACACTGGCTGCTAGCTTAATTGTTAAAAATAAAGGACTTTACTTAAAAAGTATTTGTATTTCATGTATTATATTACTGCATTTGGCCCGCAGCCCCCAATACATTTTCATTTTGGCCCCYTTGAGGAAAATGTTTGGGCACCCCTGGTTTAGAGGTATGGTGTGAATTAAGTTCTGGTTCAGGTTAGAGTTAACTATAGACCAGTAATGGTTAATTTTAGGGAACATGTCTAGGTTAGGCATAAATACAGTTTAAAAAAATGAGTAGAAGTCAATACAATGTCCTCAGTTTGATGTAAATACAAGGATGTGTGTTTGAAACAAAATGATTTTGAATGATTTGTGTTTCAGAACCCAGGGATGCTGAGTGGAGTCATGCAGAAAGCAAACCCGTTCAGGTCTTCGTCTCAGGTAACTGCAGCTCTGTCGTCTGATCCGTCCCACTCAGGTCTGCCCACTCAGCTGATTCTGTCCCACAGGCGTCCAAAACACCGTCCTCAGAGTCACTGGAGGGGAGGAGTTCAGACTCCACTCAGGTAGGAATTACCCTCRGAGGGAATCATTTCTGGATTTCAGCCCAGCGTCCTTTCTCTCAGGGAAAACATTTTATGTCTTTAAATGAGACATTCTGCTCTTTATTTTGGTTTTAGTGTTTTCTAGCCATTTTGTGTTTTAATTTAGTGTTTTTAATGTAAAGTGTCCTTGTCTTGAAATGCACCAACAAATAAAATGCATTGTTGTTGTTGCTGTAGTATTATCATTTTGTAAACGTCAGTGTGATCAGTTTGTTGTKGAAGCAGTGAGCTGTTTGTGTTGCAGAATCCTGGCGTGTTTAAAGAAGTCATTCAGAAAGTGAACCCCTTCAAGTCTTCAGCACAGGTACAGWCCAAATCAGAAACCAAACACCAGCAGAGGATCAAAGATAACATTGGGCCTCATGCAAGAACATGTTTGTATTCTTATCATAAATTTCTCTTACTTTTGTTTGTACAAAGGGTTC